GTTTCATGTTTAAAAAATTGTTTCGAACGAATTTTCAATTGATTGTAAAACAATTAATTAAGGTTTTTACTTGAGATAAAAAAGTCAATGGCACGAGCGGGATTCGAACCCACGATCTTCGGCTAGATACGCCTCTGCTCTACCACTTCAGCTATCGTCACCTCGATCCACTCGGACACTAACTTCGCATCTCAACCCCACCTTTTGAATTTTCCCTCCTTTTTGCCATTTTTCAAAAAGGAGGGAAAATTCAAAAGGTGGGGTTGAGAAGGGAAGTTAGTGTCCGAGTGGATCGAGGTCACGATAACTCAAGTGGGAGAGCAGCGGCGTATCTAGCCGAAGATCGTTGGTTCAAATCCCGCTCGTGCCATTGACTTTTTTATCTCAACTAAAAACCTTCATTAATTGTAATATATTAATTGGTCAAGCGGACCACGAAATTAGTGAATTTAATGACTGTAAAATTTTTATTCCATATATCAAGTCTGACAATGATTCTTGATCATGCTAAAGTGGAAATAAATATTTTATAAACCGTCAGCAATTTCGATCACAAGATTATTATTGTCTCCGTTAAATGCGTTTCAAAAATTCATCTTCAAGGCCATAACTTGATCCAAAGTGTTCATAAGGTTGGACTTCAGCCCTAGAAATCTTTGTAGTTGTCCAAGTATTCTGTTAAGTTGTTGTCTCTTACTTCTTGTGAGAGATAATGATATACAGGTAGGTCAGCAGTTTAAATGTATAAAGCAAGGGACCAAGAATGATCCCTTGAGGGAGTCCGACATGTTTCTATCTGACTTCTGAGGACTCATTGCCATACCCTATCAAGACTAAATCTCACAATTTAACTATAATTTATGTTTTATAATTTATGTATGTGTGTGATGTTTAGTGCCCGTTAGTTAATGATTATTTGGAGATCATGAAATGCGGTCTGGTGTGACGTAGGTTTAGAAAAACATTTTCTTTATCGTGCCAACTTTTCGATCTTTATTGAGATCATATTCAGGGCTAAAAGTGTTTGTTTTCTGTGTAGATATATCGTTATTTCAACACGACACCCAAGAATGACACATATGTACAGAAAACAAAAACTTTGAGCCTTGTAGATGATCTCAATGTCTGTTAAGTCTCTGTTAACTTATTGTCTCTTACGTTTGTGAGAGATAATGATATACAGGTAGGTCAGCAGTATAAATTATATAAAGCAAGGGACCAAGAATGGTCCCTTGAGGGAGTCTGACATGTTTCTATCTGACTTCTGAGAACTCATTGCCATACCCTCTCAAAACTAAATCTCACAATTTAGCTATAATATATGTTTTATAAATTATACATGTGTGTGGTGTTTAGTCACCGTTAGTTAATGATTATTTGGAGATCGTGAAATGCGGTCTGATGTGACGTAGGTTTTACAAAAACCTTTTCTTTATCGTGCCAACTTTTCGATCTTTATTGAGATCATCTTCAGGGCTAAAAGTGTTTGTTTTCTGTGTAGATGTATCGTTATTTCAACACCACACCATACAATGACACATATACAGAAAACAAACACTTTGATCCCTAAAGATGATCTCAATAAAGATCGAAACGTTGGTATGATAAAGAAAATGCTTTTCTAAAACCACGTAACACCAGACCGCACTCACGATCTCCAAATAATGATAATTTATACATTTAATCATTTAATTAAATTTTATGTTTAAAAAATTGTTTAGAACGAATTTTAAATTGATTGTAAAACCTTTTATCACATTTAACAAGTCTGACAATTTGTCTTAATCATGCTAAAGTGGAAATAAATATTTTATTTAAGCTGTCATCAATTTCGGAACAATATTTCTCCGTAAAATTCGTTTTAAAAATTCATCTCCTGTCTTTATTTTCGTCGGTTAGACATCTACCTCAAATCGACAGTCTAGGTTTAATCAGGGGTGATACCAACCGGCGATACTAACCGGAAAACTTAACAATTCAACTAAAAGCCGAGGCACGTGGGCAGTTATGCACATGGTAGGTTTAAACAAATACCATTTCATTTTTATTCTCTTCCTCTGTGTACGTGGTAAAACGGCTTTACTGTTAAAATGAGATAATTTGCACGGTGTAGGAGAACTGCAAATATGAACCGGAGATTTAAACCCATGGTGGCAAAATGGCTATACAAAGCAATTATTATCCCTAGATTCACACTCCCTTACTTAATCTGCTGAATAGTAGTCTAAATCCAAAGAAAATATAAAGATTTAAAATAGTTAAACATTTAAGTCAACAGTTATAAAAAACGAGTAGGGCGTTTGTATTACATATTGAACAAGAGTGTATCAATTATTAATTATTAATTAATTGTAGTGTTCAATATACATTTCTTTTACTCCTGAGGAATGAAATACCGTGTATATAAAATTACTCGTAAACGAATATCATGTTGAAAGAACTTTTCTTGTAACCATTCTTATCTATTTATGAAAAAACATTCTTTTCCTCAAAAACCAGACAATATGAACACAATTTTATAAGAGTGTTTGTAAAAATATGTGATGAAAAATCGTGACATACCAAATTTTACTCAAGTTAGTAATTGAAATTTGACAAGAATATGAATTTGGGAAGGTATTTGTTGGTGTACTCTTACTTGAAATTTTTTCCTCATAAAAACTGAACATTTCTTTAACATCTGTAGTGTTTAGTAACCGTCACTTTGATTATTTGGAGATCGTGAGATGCGGTCTGGTGTGACGTAGGTTGGTGTCCGAGTGGAACGAAGTCACGATATCTCAAGTGGTTCGAGCAGCGGCGTATTGAGCCCAAATTCGTGGGTTCGAATCCCTCTCGTGACACTAGCTTTTTCATTTCAACCAAAACCTTACATAAAAAGATTAAGTAATTGAAAGAAGTAATTTGGTCAATAGATCACTAAATATAATGGGTTTAGAAAAATATTTTCTTTATCGTGCCAACGTTTCGATCTTCATTTAAATCATCTTTCGGGCCTGGGATTTATTAACATTGTTTAATTTGTACAAATACATGTAGGATGTGAAAAAAACGAATTTATACAATGCGAGAAATTTTAAACTATATCAAAGTATTTGTACTCACTCAAAGTGTTTGTTTTCTATGTATATGTGTCATTATAGGTGTCCTGTTGAGAGTGCCAGTGAGATATTGATGTTTTATGTCAAAATACGTTGGATTTTGAAGTGGTGGGGAAAGAAGTTGGGAAAGAAAACAATTTTATATGAGAAGTCGGCTTCTTTGAGATGAAAGGATTGACCCATGGGAAAAAATGGGTAATGGTTCGGCCTGATTACCCTTTCAGGATTATATAGACTGGGATATTTAGGGAAAGGAAAGCCAAATTGTTGAAGAATAGAGATAGACGATGTAGAAATGTTTGATGTGTGGAATGTAATGATTGTTTTATATGTTAAATTATATGTCTTGTATGTTGTGATGATTATATATTTATGCTATTGATATTGAATTTGATTACGCTAATATCTTTAATCAAATTCAACAACACAACACTCTCAACACGACACACAACAATGACACATCTACACAGAAAACAAACACTTTGATTGAGTTTAAAATTTCTAGCATGTATAAATTCATTTTTTAACATCCTACATGTATTTGCAAAATGTAAACAATGTTTATAATTCTCTGGCCCTGAAGATGGTCTCAATAAAGGTCGAAACGTTGGCACGATAAAGAAAGTATTTTTCTGAAACCTACGTTACCCAGACCGCATCTCGTGATCTCCAAATAATCAATACTTTTAGAATTGGCATTTGCCATAACTATTCTAAATAATCTATCTTTTGATACCACAAATTTCTTGTAAAAATTAGTTGACAGGATTCAGAGAAATGTGTACTTTTACACGTGAAAATATAAATTTTCCGAAAAAGAAAAACTGATGTCTTAATTCGTCAATTAAGTAGTCAGTATGACGTTTCAAAAGAATCATAGGTTTTCTTAGACGATTTAGATAATAATTACGTATTATTAATAACGTTAGAATTGCAGTATAAGCTTTTCGAGAATATTTTTAAACGCGCCTGTACACAAAACTATATTCAACGACGGAAAGTAGCAAAAATGTACTAAAAACGATTAAAAAGGAAAACAATAAAAAAAGTCTCGTTTAGGGTTTACGAAAACGATCTCTGTGAATCCCGGTAGATCGGGCATAAATTAATGTCAAAATGATCACTTGTTGGATGAAAGCCCGCACTATGATGAAGAGTGATGGCCCTGGTGATCACAGTTCATCAGTTCTCTATCACACATCATCAATAGACAATAACGACGCATAAATTAATTCATCCAGTTATTGAATCTTCACGCACAATGTCTATCAGTGTATAACGGTTTTTTAAATAGATAATTAGCGCTTAATTTTCCTTCCTTCCCATATAAGATTTTTCGTTCTTAATGAGGTTTGAATGTAAAGTTTTTCAAGAAAATGAACTGCTTTTTTTGTCTCGAACTAAAAGAGTTAATCACGTCGCGAAAGTTTCCAATAAAAACATTACCCCGTTTTTTCCGGCTATCGAGCTTTACGCCCAATCCGCTTTTATGCCCTTCCAACGAATATAAAACTTTATTGTTTTAAAGTTTTTTATTGCTCTTTACAAATTTAAAAGCCGTACTCCGGAATTTATTGAGGCCCCCGGTGGTATGCGCACAAGTGTGTTCAATTAATACGGTATCCATAGCTTTTTAAGCATTCAAATTAAATTTAATATATCTCTTAAGCGAAAAGATTATTCAAAGAAGTACCATATAAAATTCTTCATAATAAGAAAAAACATAATAGATAATGACATTACGAAAATGTACAATTTGATCATCTCTAACACATAGTTCATAAATCTCATTGAGTTCGTTGATAGATGTACTGTTTTTGTTAAAATATATTTCACTTATTTTGGGGAAAAATAGATAATATTTTAGAAATAGACGATACAATGTACAAAAAAACTCACGTTTGACTTTTTTAGGTACAGGGAAATCGTGGTCCACACCTTCCTCTTCCAGAATCCTGGCGAATCTTTCCATGACGTGAGTACCGATTACAGCCAGTTGTCTCATCGGATCGATTTCCTGTCCTGGAATTTTATTACAATTACCACAAATTTGTCAATAAATTTCATCGAGAGAATCTTAAGATTAATTTCATAGATAGGAACGTTTTATAATATGACCAATAAACTCCTTTCTTACATTAAAACTTTCATACCTTTAAAATAAGCTGGAAAGTTATTAACTCCTCTTTATGATAGGATGGTAAAATCGTAAAAGACACATTTAACAACGGTAACGGTTATGATCCGTTAAACCAACTTTGGTAAGTGATAAATGAATAAAAGTAAGCACTTTTTCTTTTCTTTTTATTGCCGTTGAAGATTTTAATAAATAACAAACAGCCATTTTTCTTAACAACTATAAATATCAAATATGGAAGACATATCTACCCGAAATTGAAGAAGTCACCAATCCTGACAGGGTGAGAGTTGAGTCTGCTATTCAAATTTAAGGTTAAATGCAGCCTGGTGGCGTACCAAAAAAAGATTCAAATTGTTTTGACCTACCATTTCTATACTATTTTAATTTTTTAATTTTGAAACGGGTTGTTAACGTCGACATTCACGCTAATTGGTTTACAAACGTTTAAATAAAAAACAAAGCAATAAAATATGTAATTTTTGACTTTTTATGACACTAACCTTTAATCTTTTAAACATTCGTAACAAGGTTGTGATTAAAACGTGTTTTTGATAATAACGTCTCGCATCGAAATAACATCAGCCACCATGGACCGATACTGCTCTTGAGGAAACGGGAAACACCATCCAATCCGAATGCTCCCGGACAACGATTTTATTTCATTTTATCAATACAATGGCTTAATGTACATAACATAAAGATTGCATAGTGTGGAAATATAGAAAGATCAATTCCACCAAGATATATAAAGTTGACATTGGTCACTAGTGCCCCCCTAAGAAGGAAAATACCACATTATCACACAGTGTAAAAAAAGTCAAATATAACACATTCAACAAATTGTTTTTTTAAATCGAACAACCAGCTCCATTCGCTTCAAACTTGGATAAACAAACAAGAGTAAAAAAGAATGACCAGAAAGCGTCATAACACAAGACAAACAGTGAATTGGTTGATTTATCGCCGAGCATATTCTGATACGACCAGCTTTGCAGTTTGATCTTGATGGCTCAAAACAAGCTTTTGGATTTATTTTACTACTTGTTATTTAAATTTTATTATGTATGTATATATATTTCTACTATACATGTTGTTCTTTTTTTATAGCAAGGCTGACATAACAGTGAAATAGTTTAATGTAGTTCTAGTTGTTTTATTACTTTAAATATCATGTCATACTCTGAACAAATATATATTAAAATACATATTTCTTTGAAAATAAAAAAATGCATGATTTTCACTACGCACCTTGCCAAAAATATCTAACTACTAGTAATTCTCATCATTTCTTAGTTTTGTTTATATTTCTAAAATTTAAGTATTATTAGAAATTATTATAAACTTATCATTGTTTACCGACAATTCGAAGAAGAAGTTTATGTTTTAATTGTAATATTCTTTCAGTCGGTTTTACACATCTTCAGCCACGGATACCCATTTCTTTTTATTTTATTTACTTATTAATTTGATTTGTTCTGTTTAACCAAAGAAGAATCAGTCGGAAAATTTACTCTTCATAAAGAAGGGAAATCTTAGCATTGGCATTCTTCATTTTCATTAAAACATTCTTCAAGTACATACCATTAAAACAGAGAGTGTGAGAGAGAGTGTGTAAGAGAGAGAGGAAAAATGAGAAAGGAAGCAAAAATATATATAACAAGCAAAAAAATATATAGAGAGAGAGTGAGAGAGAGAGAGCGAGTAAGTGACGATGAGATGGAGATACAGACAAAAATTCGATAATTTGTCTTTGAAAGTCACAAATAAAATGAATATTCATTAATTTAAATTTTTAACATTCACTTCATAAAGTAGACAAATTCTTTAAAACTTCAATTAAGTTGAATATACAATGTAGCCGGATTTTGTAAAGATCTACTACAGAAATGATCCTGTAGAAGTATTATCTTAAATATGAGTTTAGGTTAGAATTTTGTGATGAAATTTGGCTTACTTGTAGTGTAATGTGTTTGAAATAAGCCGATAAATTTTCATAATTTTTCACCGAGTGGCTTTTGATCAATTTGTAAAAAATTTTGTGTTAAAATTAAGTGCAGTGGCGGGATTTTGCAAGTGTTGCTTGATGGAAAGGGGGCGGGGGTACTAGTGAATAGTGATATACATCAGTCGTGGAAGTGAGGAAGAGCAGCTGGAACCACATCATACAGCAAGTACGTCAAAATATATAAAATTTTTTTGTTGGCATCACAATCGGTTTTAAAATAAGTGAAAAAAAAGTTTCATCATGTCATTTATAGGTTTTTACAAAAAACAGAAAAATAATTACAAACTTAAAAAAATCATTAGAACAGTTTGTACCTCATGCTTAAGATTAAAGAGAGAGAGAGAGNCTGGAGAAAACAGCTAGGATAAGTTTTTCAATAATTAGATTTCATGGCTGAACATTTTTTATTATATAGCTATGACATTGACATTAAAAAATACAAAAGGAGAGAGAGAGAGAGAGAGAGAGAGAGAGAGAGAGAGAGAGAGAGAGAGAGAGAGAGAGAGACCGGAACAAGCGGCCCAAATCCCATAACACTCTATGTGCAATGATGGCATTAAAGATCATCGAGAAGACCTGGAGAACGATGCAGAAGAATCAGTGATAATTAGATAATGGTTTATTATCTTCTCGAGAGACCAATTTATTAGTAACCAATTGGCACTAATCCAATGATGGACCTTGAATATGGCTGATGTTCATAAAATCGTTGCGATCAAAGTGAGTTAGCTAAAGATCAAGCAGTGCATTTTGTGCATATCTCAGGCTCTAAATCATTGCTTGAGCACGGTAATAATCGGTTACATAAGGGAAAATGTGTTTCTATTCCCTTGAGTAGGTATTGAGTCCGGAACTTAACGCAATTGTTCAAGTTAGGAAATATATAGTTACAGTGTCAACACCCGACTACCCTCGAAAGCATAAAGACGTCGATATTTAAGGATTAGCACAGGCTATTCCTCCATGACATAAACAGTAATCAAGTAATCAAAGCCAAGGTCGAAAGAGTACTTTCATAAATATTCCGCCATCGACCATAAAACACACACACACACACACACACACACACAGAGTTGGAAGAACAATGGTGACGCTATATTCTCCCATCAGCCCTCTTAATAATAAATACACAACACATCACAGAATGACAAAACACGCAAACAAATTTATATACAATAAAAAACACCCACCTCCTCTAGAAAGCAGAACATGCAAACCAGAAACTCGCTACTGTGCCCGAGAATTATTCTAAAATATGGCGGCATGCCTAAACGCTCCCTCTAAGGAGCCAAGTCATGACTTCTATTATGAGGGACACGTCAACAAACTTTCTCTATATAAAAGACATTTAAGTTATTTATTTTACAGTTCACAGTTTTAACAAAAGAAGAAACTATCATTGGTCATTGTTAATGCTATTGAAATAATAATATCGTCGTCCCTAACAGTGGAAAAAAAAATTCATAGTAGGCACTTCTTGAGGCGTATGGTCTTGATAGCGGTGCGCACCAACATTTTTACACGTTTTTTGAGTTGCGAAATCTGGCAGGCGAAGCCAAAAATATACTATCGAAGATTACGCCATTATCAAAGAAAAAATTGTCACAAACGTGACTACATGTTATAACCGTTTTTAAAAGACAAATAAAATTAATTGGCGAATGATGACGGTAAAGAAACAATGAAGATGCCATCTCTGATAACCTAGTTTATTATCGTGAAGGAACCGCTAATTAGTGTTAGCGATAATAAGTAACGGAACGTCGACTTTTATCACAATTTGAATAAAATTTATGAAATGGTTGGATGTTAATTTTTTTTAATTGAATTGTAACTGATTTTCGTAAAAAAATTCTATACTTAAAATTGAACTATATGGTATGTTTGTTTAGTCAGATTCTTCCCTAAAAGAGTGTTGTGAAAATATTTACACGGAGATTAAAGAGCGGAAAGAAATATATTTTTCCAGGCCGGTAAATTAAAACAGATAAAAGCATGACTAAAACACACTGTTAAATAAAGACAAAGGGCTTATTTTCTTTCAGCTCATTGTGTCGGAACAATATTGTCCGAATTAAGCCACGGGTGGGATTTTATTTTAAAAAGAGCCGCCCTGGCCCGGGTTGGCGGTGATTTTTATTAAAGTTGTATTCCAGGCGGTGAGCCGGGGATGCAAGGGCCCCTGTTATCAGTAGGTGTGTGTCGCGGCGATTGGGTGCCATTGTTCTCCAGGCCATTGTCCACGCCATTAGACACTGGACGACAATTTGCAGGACCAACAAACAACCACTTTACAGACAACCAACATTTACTGTTATTTCTCGTCCACAAATTTCCCGGAAACTACTCACTGACAATAGAACAAGCACAGATAAGAGAGTGGTTTTGTTAAAATTAGTACGTTTTTATTATTTAACTTAGGCAATTCTTCACCAGATTTGTTCTTCTTGTCAGAAAATTTACAACGTCTTCTATGTTTGTCAAACAAAATTTAAAAATTGTATTGTTAATGAATAAAAGCATACGTCTAACCCATTGTAAGTAAAAGTTTCAGTATCGAAAGAAAAGTATCCTTGAATTGTTGAAAAATGCTTTACAACTGAAACGCTTCTTACCCACTCCTTATTATCTTATCCTGAAATCCTAACTAGTAGACGGCTTCTTCAGAGTGAGGTGAGGCAACGAGTTTTTGGAAGTCAGACAGATACATGTCGGCGTCCCACAAGGGAGAATTCTCGGTCCCATCCTTTATATCACTCACACTGCTAACGTAACTAAAACCGTCAACACCATCTCCGTGGTCGATTTGGTTCTCTATCTTGAATCTTATCCAAGCTACCTCCAACATCCAAGAACACCTTGAGCTTATCGAATACT